TCAATGGCGTCCTTATTCTTCATCAAGTTATGTTCTTTTCTTGTATTTCCGGGAGCCTTCCTCTCTTCTGCACCTATTGGTTGCAATTTGTTGCTTTCTGGTTAAAAACTTGGAAGCAAAGGAATTGATGGCTCCAAAAAAGTAGCCGTTAGGGGCTTTATGATGAGAATCTTGTGGAGACTTGTATCTTGATAACTTATGAGCGTGGCCATGATCTTCAAGCCTTCCTAAAATACTCCTTGGTCATAATAAAATTGAATATGGCCGTTTGTCTTGGGAAAATTTCTGTAGAAACTCCTTCAAGTATTTAGTGTACATGTTACCAAATATGGAAGGTTGATGGAAAGGAAGAATCATTTGATCTCCTGGGTGCTGGTGCAGCTGAAGACTTCTTGGATGTCTTCTGGATGGTTAAGATGATCTTCTGGCTTCCACAGGACGGTCTGGGTCGAACCAAGTTGAATTGGTTTAAGACTTTCCTCAGTTGATGTCGATTTGACCAATTTGAGTAAACCAAGTGATACAGCCTCAGAATCTCACTTTAGCTTTTCTCGCAAGAAATCAAAACCGACAGCCTAAATGGAATGAAGATCGCCACTCAAAGATGTGAAAGGCTTTGAGATAAGATCATGAACCAGAACCTAAGTGAATCTCACACAAAGATAAAGGTTCCACACTTGTATCCTAAGAAAGAATCTCACATAACTTAGAAATAACAAGAACAAGCATAAAAGCTCTCAAGAGAAAATCTCACTTTTTTTTGTTCAATACTCAAATCTGATTTTACAATGAAATGAGATGAGCTTTATATATAGCTCTTGGACAAGGGTTTCAGAATCAAATACATAAATGAAAGAAGGATTTTTAGGATAAATCATAATTAAGAAGAATCAAAAGGCTGATCTCAAGGGATTGAAATCTGCTTATTAATGGGAGTGTTGACCATGCCTTTAATACCTTTGGACATATCTTTTGGAGCTGATAAGGAGGCTTTAGTGGTGGCCTTTGTTTGGGAACAGCCAGCTGAGTCAAACGAACCATGTGCTTGGTGTCGTCTAAGTTCATCCGAGTCAAAACATGGAAAGTATCGTCTACTTTAGGAGCAGTGGATTTGATGGCCGCATCATTCCCTCCCCCTTGTAAAAGTTTTGTCCTCAAAACTTGCTCATGTGATATCGGGATGTAGCTCGGATTTTGCTGGACCTCTTCTGATGGATCAAGTGGTTCAGGCTCTTTGTTTTCATGCTCAATTTGGGCCGCCTGCTGGGCCAACTCCTCCAAACAATTGCATGAGTACCTTTGTATGTGGAAACGGATCTCATTGCTTAGCCCATAAACAAACTGGTCCATGACATCCTCATTCCTTACTCCTGGATTGAGCCGAATGCGAAGATGGTTGAATTGCTTGTGATACTCCATGACCGTCATATCATCTTGGCAAAGTGTGTGAAATTGCCTCCGGATTTCTTGATACTGATCGCGTGGGATGTATTGCTTCCTCATCAGATTTTTCATCTCATCCCAAGTTGTTTCTCGAGAGTACCAGCAATGATTTTTCTTTGCAGTAGATTGGCTCCACCAGTGATGAGCTTGGTCGATAAGTTGATCAGCAGCAATGTATACCATCTCGAAATCTGGACAGCGGCAAGAAACGAAAAACTTGTTCATCTTGTGCTCCCATTTAAAGTACTCATCTGGGTCTGATATTCCTGTAAAATAATAATCTTCTTGCTTCAAAAGACTCCAAGGATGGGCCGCCATGTTGCTGTTGCTGGACTGGTTTTCCATATCTTCTCTTTATATTTTTTTGTAGGAAAGAAACTTTGAAAAACAAAACAGAAAAGAAGGAAAGAGGAAAACAATTTTTCTGGTTTTTTTTTTTGAGAATAGAATGACAAAAACAAAACAAAAGAAAAATAAATATAGATAATAGGAGCTTTTAGCTCTGATACCAAATGATACAGCCTCAGAATCTCACTTTAGCTTTTCTCACAAGAAATCAAAACCGACAGCCTAAATGGAATGAAGATCGCCACTCAAAGATGTGAAAGGCTTTGAGATAAGATCATGAACCAGAACCTAAGTGAATCTCAGACAAAGATAAAGGTTCCACACTTGTATCCTAAGAAAGAATCTCACATAACTTAGAAATAACAAGAACAAGCATAAAAGCTCTCAAGAGAAAATCTCACTTTTTTTATTCAATACTCAAATCTGATTTTACAATGAAATGAGAGGAGCTTTATATATAGCTCTTGGACAAGGGTTTCAGAATCAAATACATAAATGAAAGAAGGATTTTTAGGATAAATCATAATTAAGAAGAATCAAAAGGCTGATCTCAAGGGATTGAAATCTGCTTATTAATGGGAGTGTTGACCATGCCTTTAATACCTTTGGACATATCTTTTGGAGCTGATAAGGAGGCTTAAGTGGTGGCCTTTGTTTGGGAACAGCCAGCTGAGTCAAACGAACCATGGGCTTGGTGTCGTCTAGGTTCATCCGAGTCAAAACATGGAAAGTATCGTCTACTTTAGGAGCAGTGGATTTGATGGCCGCATCACCAAGTAGATCTTCTTGTTGGATTAGATTTCAGCCTTGAATCTTCTCGTCTGGATGCTTAAAAGGCGATCCTTATGATAATAAATAGCTTTGGTTGAGCCTCTTCATGGTTGGATTTGTATGGACTGGAATGTGGCTGATCGCACCCATTGAATGTTGAGAAGATGGGTTGACTTGTAAATTTTATAACTTCCTGGTCCCTGAATATTTTCTTGAAAGTAAAAGCCTCACTGAGTCCTTGTTGAGTTAGCCTTCTTTTAAAATTGGTTGTATGCCAAAATACCTTCTGGTTGTTGAGATATTTGCTTTGGACTGAACCTCTGTTTCTCATATCACCTAGATGTCCGGTTTGGAAGGTTTGGTGAGATACTGGTGGAACCATTGGATTTTTTGATCGAAACACATTCTTGCTTCGTAATATGATTATGTTAATCAATTTATTCATAATGGTTCATCAATATAAATGTTACATTACATATTACTAATACCTAAAATGTAATTATAGGTTTACTACATCAGTTACCCTCAGGTTACGTAAAGAGACGATCATTGGATCATTGTAACCCTAGAAGACGAGTACATGGAAGTTCTGATAATTAACCATTACAACCAAACTCTACCAGCAACGTAAATCTAGTTGAAGATTTAGCAAATGCTGAACTTGTTGTCCATTTTACCGAGTTTGGAGATGACATTGTTGTGCACTCCGAGTCAGAAGTTAAGGTTTGAGAGTTTGACGAAGATTAAGTTGATTCTAGAGATTCTGAGTATATTTGTGTAATCATATATATAACTTTCATAAGTTATTGGAGTTATAAATATATTTATATATATGTTGAACAGAAATATATTGTAGGTCTTTTTTATAAGTTATTGGAGTTCTTTTTATAAGTTGTTGGAGTATAAATTTTTAAAATAAATATATGCATATATATAAATTTAATTAAATAATATAATAATGTTTAAAACCAAAATCGTCGGAATTTCGTCAGAAAATTCTGAGGAAAGTAATATATTTGGGATCTCGGCTACAAGTTTAACATTCGTCAGAAATCCACCAGAATATTCCGACGAAATTCTAACAAACATCATGCGTTCATCGGAATGTTGTCGGAAATAACCGATGGACTTCCGACGGATGGTTGTTTTTGAATATGAAATAATCAATAAAAATGCAGAATGGATACCGAAAATTTCCAAATAACACATATTAAGTGTGTAACAGAATATTAGTTCACAACTAGTTCAAGCCTTTTCAATTAAACAAACATATTGTGGCAATCTAATACTACAATATTTATTTTTTGTAATATTGATTTCGACAATCTAATATTACAATATTTATTTTGTGTAGTACTGATTTCTATAAACATTTTTATAGTTAAACCTTTTCAAATCGTCACATATTATCAAATATTTGTTTTTGATCACTAGATTGATGTTTTGAAACCCCAAATGTAAATTCGTTGAAAATTTCTGATGAAATTTAACAGGATTGTAGGAAATTAGTCAGAAAATTTCACTTATCTGAAAAAGAACCACCAAATAAATTGTGCGAACTGTTAAAAGCACAAACCAACGGATTCCGACGACTACTTGTCAGACGGTTAATTTTTAATACAATAATGTCTCCTTCTTTTTATTCCTCATTTCCGCCTCTCTCTCTCTAAATATTTCCTCGACTCTCTCTGATTCTCTCTCTTATCCGGCGAATCCAACCCCAATCTCTTCCACAATCATGTAAGCTATCTAAACCCTCTCTTAACTTTGATTTTTTAGGTTGTAAGTGTTATATTCGTGGATTTTAGACCTAAACCAAATTAAAATATATAAATATTTTGAAATTGATAATAAATATAAATTCTGAAGAACATGAATCGGTCGGAAATTTTCATCCAAATATTATCGTCGGAATTTCTGACCAAACCAATTCGTCGGAAAATTCTGACCAAACAATTTCGTCAAAATTTTTCGACGGCAAGTAGCAGTCAGAATGTCCTGACACAATTATTTGGTCAGAAATTTCTGACTGAATTACTAAGTCGGAAAATACCAACATGAATATTTATGATTACCAGTTTGATCGGAATTGTTTCCAACAAATTACTAACAATTTTTTTGATGATTTTTATCGTCGGTTATCCATCAAAAATTTAGCTGTCGGACTGCCGTCAGAATTTCTTACGGAATGACATTCTCGTCAAATGGATGTATTTTTATGGAATTACGACAAAATTGACCGTCGGAATTCACATGTTTTCTTGTAGTGGTAACATGAAAGGATTAACGAGATCAGTGTCACTGAGAATTAAGAAACAAAAAATTCATAAGCAATCAAATTAAACGGTAAGATTCACAAATGATCAAGTTAAAAATGTCTTGGACTGTAACAAAAAATAATAATAAAAAAAAAATCCTCCGCGATATCAGCCACGGAATTATTGCAGAAACATCAAATTCTCAACATGGTTTGTGAAGGTGAAGACTGGTTTAGGGTGATCTCGACCCATCAATAGCTTCTCTTCAATTCCTTTGACCTCAACTCTTCGAACACTCTGTCTCTTCACATTGTAGTAGAAAACATTAAATGGATATGTCCAACGACTTGGCGCCCAAATCATTTCACCCATATCAGTTCCCCAGATTGATTTTCGAGCAAAGAAATAATATCTGGCAAACAAAGGTTATACTTTGACCATCTCTCTTTCTCGGTATCATCAAGAACCCATAACTGATTAACGTCACGATCCTTATAGACTAAGAGACCTAACTTTCCCTTGTATTTTATCAACGCAAAGAAGCTAGCCAACACATAGCTAACATCTTCTAATTTTATAAACTTAAACTCCTCAGACTTAACATCAAAGCATGCTATCACTATGTTCAAGCTTTTCCAAGCTACATAATACAAAATCCCGTCGATGCATATCATATTTCTGTACCTAACAGGAAAATGCGGAACCCAACATCTGATCTTTCTCCATGATGGTTTTCCTTTCCATACCGTCAGAACGTGATGTTCTTTAGAGTTCTTTTGTCTTCTATACTCTGTCACGGTCATGCACAAAATCTTGAATTGATTATCGATTGGATCGTACCCGAGAAAGCTTCTTAAGTTTTTATTCTTGGCTGTCACTTTAGGTATATGTACGTGCTGACCGGTGCTAGGATTACATAGCACAGGAACCCTTTCCAAATTTATCTTTCCATTTAACATCTGCTTCTCGTAAATAATGATAAATCCGTTGATGACTTGAGAAAATTTCTTGTGCCAATTTCCAGAGATACCCATATGGTAATCAGCTCCTACAACAATTACGTGCTCATCATTATTTCGAGGCTGAGGGGATGAGAAGAAGTGCCACTTACCACCCAGTTCGAACGTGAAGAAAAGACTTGGCCGAGTTGATGAACATGTCAGGAATGATTTCTGGAAATGTGGACTGCAAAGTAAAAACGCCCATTGCTTTGAGACGAATCGGCAGATTGCAATGGCTTTTGCTGGTAGTCTCTTGAGCATCTCATTGATGAGATCCATGGGAAGCGTATCTAAGCTTTCTCCTACATACATTGAGGAAGTCATCGATGATTGTGTGCGGTGTTGGATGATTTTACGGCGTTTCGCCGGTTTGTTGTTTTTCTCGACGTTCATTGCAATTTTTGATGTGATCTAATTAAGATTCCATTAAGAAAATGGAAGGTAAACTATTATAGGTTTATCGAAAACATATCCTGATATTTTACCATGCAATATCTTTTTAAATTTTTGTTTTTCCTTATTTCAATTTTGAATCTTATATCTCCTATTCTGGTTGACAAAATAAAATATCTCTTACTTTGTCTTTTATTTTGTTCACCCATTCATGAACCTAACATTGAATTCATATGGTAACAAATATTTTTTTTGGTACCATGATCTTACTAAAAGGTTGAATGGAAAAATAGTCATAATTTCCTAGTAGTTCCTAAGATTTAATTCGGAAATAAATGGTCATGACTCATGAATGTCACATTTAGGGAAGGAAAATTAGAGATAGATGATGACACCATGGAAAGATTCATAATTTATCTTAAGTTCACCAACAGTATATGCTTTTTCCATTAGTTTGGAAGAGCTATTTGGCTTTGGAAAAGAGAATGCACTCGTTTAATTATAATTTACAAAATATGGCTGCCAAATGAAATGAAATATGAGTTACTTTTGGCGAAATTTGAATCAGTTCATGTTAATTTTTCCATATAGATCGACGCTTGATATGATATTTTATTCATACCTTGTTTTAAATAACACTTTACCTGGTTCGTCTTTTGAGTTCTCGGTATTTTTTAAAACTAGACATCATATGAATTACTGTATAGTTGAATGGTGTGGGACTCATAATTTTTTGAATAAGAGTAGAGCTTAACCCAGGACATCTCCTAGTTTACTAACAAAAATTTTCCTTAGTGAAAGATGATTTCGTTGCAAAATATCTTCTGTTTTATCCAGGTTTTTTCTTTCATGGAGGATATCAATCCTCTATCATTGGATAAATGGAAATTCTTAAGCAATTTCTTTGATAAACTGGCACATTGAGATAAGTATATTCAAGCTATCTGACATTTTTTTCTTCATACATTAAGTCCGGAAAGGTGGGTAAAAAATTTTTCACAACGATAAGTTTTCATCTTCCAAGGAAGAGAAGAATGCCTAATTTTCAATGTTGAGACGTGAGCATAACTGAAGAAAAAGAAGATGAATTAAAGAAAATCGATGCTTGAAAAAAGAAAAGACAAGTGAATGAAAGCTTGGAAAAAGAGAATCAAAGCAAAATTTCTGGCATAATGAGAAAAAAATCTGACATAGAATCAAGAGAGACTGAAAGTAATCAGAACTGTACAAAGTGAGTCAACACCTCTAGATATACTTCTTCCGTTTAAAAAAGTTAAACGTTTTAGATTTTTCACACATATTAAGAAAAAATATAAAATTTACCAGTGCATCATTTGTTATAGATAACAAATCTCTATATTTTTTAACCAATAGAATTTTAAGAAATACAATTAATTTTTTTGAAATCTACAATTTTTCGTTAAATTATACATTGAAAATGTAAAAAAAATACATCTTTTTGGAACAAATATTATTACTAGAATGTTCATATTTTAAAACGGAGGGATTACATGATAAGATTTAATCAACCAACTAATTGAATATACAGTTTATGTAACCGTAATTTGGCTAATAGAAATGATCATATATTCTATTTATTTTGCTTATGAATATAAATAATAGTCAGCAGGTTTTCTCTGATGATGTTATGAGAATATTTTAACTTTCCAAATCAGTACTAGTATTTCTTGTGACAATTCCTGTAACTCGAGTAATACCTTTATATATTTTTCCTGCAAGCCAATCCTGTCTCAGTATGTAACAATTCATCTCCAACTCTTGTACGCGTAAATTTTTGTTGACTTTTTGACATTTCTGACGTTCAGAGTTCCTTAGGATTGTGAAAAATCTGGTGATCATGGATCTAATGAGATTATGGTTTACGAAATTCTTTCTTTCTAATCTTTTTTTAGCAGCTCCAAGTTTGTTTTAATCTATGAAAGATGAACAGTGATTTCTTTGATGCGGAGGTTTCAATTTCCTTTAGCATTCCTCTCTGGAAATTCACTTCCATCCCATGAGAGCTACTCTGTCTCAACTTCCCAAGTATCTTAGATGACTTCTTAAAAATAATTGTACAACAACGATTTATTAGTTTTTAAAGTTAGTTTAAATAAAAATAATTTAACATTAGAGATTCGTATCCAAAATAATAATATACATATAAAAATAATATCAACTTGACATCCATGCCAACAAAACTTAATGGATATGGTATCAAATATATGGTATCACAAAAATTCAAACAAAACATATGATTTTTTTTTAAAGTTTTGAATATTTGTTTTCATTGTATTGTACTTTATACATAAGTTCAACATCTGAAATTGTTTTAGCCATTCCTCCCCTTCCCAAAATAGCAGTTGTATATAGAGTTTTAATAAATAATAAATTATAAATAATTGATTTTGATCTAAATAACATATTTTGATCTAAAATAACCTTCAAGGTACATTCTTGAATCATTTCTGCAACATTTTGATTTCCAAAGTATGATGATGCATGTGAAAGATTCGAAAAACAAAATTGATATAATTGCACGAAAGTACATTTATTTTGTTGGCTAATAAATGAGTTATATATGTTTGAGCTGAAGAAATATAAGAATGAATGGCATATCATGAATTCATTCCGCTTGAGTGGGGATAAGACATAGGAAGGTCACATTCATTGTAAAACTGCTAAATAACTTTTTAGGCCTTCCCAACGTATGCATTAGGCTATGGATGGTGTGGTTGGGAGCTTATGAATGACATCAGAGAAAAATTCAAACGTATATGTAGGGATATATTTTCGGGTGATGGCCTTTATGTGAAATGAAGACATTGTGGTTTGTGAGTGAAGGTGATTGTAACATCCCAATTTTTTTGGAAAATGGTGATACATGTAGAGAAATTGTTAAATTGTTTTGGCTGTCTATATAACAAAACTCACTACAAGAAAACGGTTGAGTACCGACCAACAGTTACGACCACGAAATGGTGGTCGTAACTTTACGTCCGTGTTACGACCAGTCAACAACCAAAAAGATATTGGTGGTAAAACCGAAGTAAACTTGGGACTACATAAATTGGTCGTAAAGCAGAAGTGACTTAACTTCCAATTTACGACCAAAAGAAAATGTGGTCGTAAAGTAGAAGTTTGTCAACTACGGAATTACGACCAAAACATTTAGATTCGAATCAACTACCAAATTACATGCACGTGGTAGTTTATTCGAAGTAACAAAATTTTGGTCGTAAATAGGGGGTAATATTCCCCACTTACCATTTCGAAATTTGCCTATAAATACGATCCCATATTCCATTTTTTACATACACCAAAAAAAAAATAAACAAGATTGTCACAAAAAAAAAAAAAAAAAAAAACAAGATAGAGTAAAAAATG